TGTGCAGAATATATTTGCACCAACACGATACGGCCCTGAATATGATTCCTCAACTCTGGACTTAGTGCTCACACTCCAGAAGGATTATGAAAGTGGCATTATTGGACTCTCACAGCTAGGTAGTAGTAGCCATGTAGTCATCACTTTTAAGTTAAAGATTCGTGATTTCATACAGAGGGCGACATCTACTCTTTCAAACAATTGAAAAGCTGGGAACTTGGTAATTCCGAATGCAACAGTCTCAGCCAACTGGCCAGTTAGTAAGAATGGGACAGTCGAAGAAGCTTAGGTGAGAATTAACAGTACACTAGAACGTGTCAATTCTCCTTTTATACTCTGATCTACTCCGCAAGGCTGTCACACTAACTGCCTAGGATTAATCTAGCAATAAGGTTACTGAGAAAGCGGAAAGGCTTACGGGACCATTTTGCTGTTAAATGAAGGGAAAGACTTCCAGATAGGCTACCGAAAATTCGGAACCTTTGCAAGTATATGGTTGAAAAAAGTCGTGTACAATGCGAGAGATAATTAGTGTTGTACAGTGTGCAATGTCCCACAAGACATTATTCTTACATGAAACGAGGGACTAAAATTAGCACCGGTATAATGTCATTGGAAGACAATACAGAGGAATCGATCAAATCCAATATCGTTTTTACGAGCTAGTATAAACCAATTTGATTTCTTTGTGCTCGCCTCTTGATTGTGAGGTATAGGTTCCTGATCTTCGGTAAACTTCTGCGTAGCTCGTCCCGCCACTCGACTATCGTAGCTTTGGTTGACTCCAAAAGGAGTAGTGCTGGGATTAATTATATGTGGTTTGTAGTATGAGGTGTGCAAAGACTGTTACTACTGTGAATGGAGTTGATCCTTTCACCAGTTGGTCCTTCGGTATCATCATCAATAGAAAAGAGATAATAATAATAATAGATATGATTAGTGAAGGTATTCAAACTAACAGACAGAAAAAGAATAAGAAAACGTAACAACAGTCAGCTGACTAAATTTGAATAATAATATGAATTATATATATGTATATAGTGATGATAATAATAATAAGTGTAGTTAAAGTTGTCAGGATAGTAAGACGGGAGAGGATGTAAGGAAGTAAAACGACGAACTTAGTTGTCTACCCCTGAATGGTGCATGCGATTTTAGGGGAAAAGCCATTTGGACACAGTTCTTGTGTCGCTGTATGATTGTTTAGCCTTCGCAGATGGCTCTGGTAAGTTCAGGGGCTGTCTCTATTTATAGACTGCCTTGACCCACTCACCTTATGTCAATTAACACGCCACGTCTGTTAGCTGTCAAGTTCAGCTCCCGAGACCAGTTGACTACTGCTCCCCAGAGATGGTACGAAACCAAGGACAAGGTCATCAGACACATTCGCTGCTGCGACAGCCAGCCTCGTACCAAAAAGGAGAGAACAAAGCGTTGTCACAGAAAATACTCAACCCTTAGTCACACTACAGCGGTGCAGCACGGACGATGATAGCCATTGTCATCCAAGTGCTCCTATTGAACTAGAAGAAAAAAACGCCTGGGGAAATGGCCAACTAGTTCATGGGATAACTCCTCAACCGACAGCCCACATCAAGTCAACCACCCCCAATACGGGGACGTGGTGAGACTGACTATCAGTTGCCTGTACAGTAATGTGAGAGGGCTAAGAGGCAAAATAGCTTAACTTAGACACCTACAATCACAGGTGAATTCCAAAATCATAATACTGACGAAACCTGGCTAACCCCTACGGTGGCAGACAGCGAATTCAGTGACATGGTCCTAGTCAGACGAGATAGGGACCTGAAAGAAGGAGGTGGAGTCGCCATATACGTCCACAAACAGCTCAGATGTGTTCACGCAATGGACCCTTCCCTCGCTGGGCTCCCTGACTCCATATGGTGCCATTTCACCGTTGGGTACTGCAAATATCTAGTGGGCAGCATTTATCGATCACTTTCATGTGGAGCAGACCACAACCAGGTACTGCTGAATACAATTTCAGCGACACAAGACATGGGTTATGATCAAATTGTCATAGCTGGCGACTTCAATACCCCATCTCTTAACTTGATGATGGGATATGCCCATGATAGATTTGATCGAAATCTGCTGCATACCATCAGGAAGGCTGGATTCACTGAAAATGTCAGAATGGATACTAGATGGGGCCCAGATGTGAAGTCTTCTAGACTGGATTATGTACTCACTAGTGACCAGCTACTAGTGGAAAACGTTCAGATCACGACTCCCATAGGTGGTTTTGACCACGCGGTCATAGTATTAGACATAGTCCTCCGCAAGCGCTCACAGTGGGACAATACACAGCCCTATCTGTGTTACAACAAAGCCAATTACACCGAAATGCAAAGACTTTTGTCTGAAGCAAGTTGGCCTAAAAATGGACAGAGCTAACAGTGGAATAACACTGGGGTGTGGTAAAGGAGATCATTCACTAGGCGGTCTCAGACACTGTTCCTTTATTCACACCAAAAGCCAGGAAGCAACGTTCATGGCTAAAAAGGGGGACACAACGCCTTCTGCAGGCGAAGAGAAAAGCCTGGTTTGCGTGGCGACTATCGAAGATTCGGCCCGAACATGAAGTGTACCTCGAACTCAGGAATCGATGTAACATACGAGTCCGGAGTGATGGAAGGACATTTCAGGGAAACCTCGCCAATAAGCTTCTCGTGAACCCTAAAAGCCTATACAGGTTTATGTCTGAAAGAAAACTGACCAACCAGTAACGAGGATATTACCCCCACAAAACATCAAGACTACAATGCAAAACCAACGCGCGTAAAGCTGCTGGGTACATTTCAAATTACCCCGGCTATGGTGCTCGTAAAATTGGGAAAGTTGGCTTCGGGAAAGTCTTCAGGTTGCGATGACATCAGACCATCCGTCCTGAACCAGTGTTCAGAAATTCTCCGCCAACCCCTCAGTGATCTGTTTCAACACTCCTTTGATGTAGGGAAACTTCCATGTGAATGGAAACGAGCCATCCTATCCCCTATCTTCAAGGGTGGTGACCGGCAGAATGCGACCAGTTACAGACCAGTTGTGCTACTTCCAGTGATATCGAAGATATTGGAAAGTCTCATTGACGACCACATGAGAAAATACTTCGACAGGACTAACCTACTCCATGAAGCACAGCACGGTTTCAGGAGGGAAAGATCCTGTGTGACGAATCTTCTACTAGCTTGGAACGATTGGATACTATCCTGGGACGTAAAGGTACCAGTCCATGTGATCTTTCTCGACTTTGCGAAAGCATTTGACACAGTTTACCATGGTCTGCTCCTTCACAAAATAAGCAAGGCGGGTGTTTCTGGAGCACTTCTTGCATGGTTGGAAGATTACTCAGGCGAGAGAGAATTCTGCACCACAGTCAACCGCATCCGATCATCCTGACACACCTCGGCATCAGGAGTTCCTCAGGGTTCTGTCTTAGGGCCGTTGATGTTTTTGATTTTTATCAACGACCTGCACTTTCAACTGAACTGCTCTGCGCTTCTTTACGCTGACGACGTAAAGATTTGGAGAGCAATAAACTCATTGGAAGACTCCGACAGATTACAGGCTGACCTGCAAACTCTGGGAGACTGGGTTCTGGCTAACGGAATGCCTTTCAACCTAAAGAAGTGCAAAGTAGTGCAACTTCATTCCGGCAGGTCACAGAGTGTAAATTACACCCTCGAGTTGTGTGCCATCAGAACGCGATCTAGGCCTTATTTTAACAGAAAAGCTAGACAGCAGTGGAAATTACACGAGGGACGTCGCCAAAGCTTACGCCACTTTACACTTTATGCATAGGTAGCTGGGAGCTCTTACTCCCGAACTATTCTTAAGGTTGTATAAGACATAGGTGAGGCCACACCTTGAGGTGCATAATATCATTGCTCCTCTGCTACTCAAAAGGGATACTAACATTCTAGAAAGTGTTCAGAGACGAGTGACAAAATGGGTGATCGGCCTCCGCAACAAATCAAACGGGGAAAGACTGAAGCAATTAAGTCTTTTCACACTTAGTTACCGTAGTCACAGGGGAGACCTCATCACCATCTACAAGATCTTAAATGACCAGGCCCACCCAAATAAAAGCATCCTGCCATTAAGTGATTATAGGCTTTCACGAGGTAACCCGGTAAGGATAGCACACTAGAAACCAAAGACTCTAGTGCGTTCACATTTCTTTTCGCTTCGAGTTCGCCGTCTCTGGAACGCCTTACTGGCGGCTGTGACTACAGCGCCATCTGTGAAGACTTTTGAGCGGAAGCTGGACAGTCATTCAGAAATGCAAGGTTTGTGTCTCAATGGTTTATCCTCTTAAAATATAAAACCACACTGTCAGTGGATAAGCATACAAACTAAATCCCCACGACCCGTTCTGTCCTCTCTCACTGTACCGACTACTCTGTCTTTTCCTTAGGTCACCTTTATTATTTCACTTATCTCGACCTATTATCATTATTACTATTCTGCTTTTATGACTACACCGAATGGCCAACGGTAGGTAGGTCAAACTCCATTCACAGCAGCAACACAGTCCTAACATACTGCATACTACAAACCACATTTTGACCAATCCCCGCACCACTCCTCTTGGAGTCTACCAGAGCTAAAGCAGTCGAGTGGCGGGACTTACTACGCAGAAGTTCACCGAAGATCTAGAACCTCCACCTTACAGTCAAGAAGCAAGCTGAAAGAAATCACTGGTATATACCATCTCGTAATCAGGAAATTGGATATTAGAAATGTTATTGAATATCACTACTAATTATATCAGTCTACTCTAAAGTGCAAAGCTTCTTTCATCTTTCACTCTTGTTATTTTTATTATGCCTCACTGTGACGCCTAAAACTTCACGATTTATAAATTGAATGCTGTAACTGTCAATCTGTTTTTCAGCATCATTTACCTTGCGACCTTGAGTGAAACTTTTTGAAAAGATAAACTAATAGGGGTATTTTTAGTGTTCCCAAAACTTTCGATGATACCAACCGTAAAAGAACGTCAGGCTGGCTCCTATGACTTTAGAAAATATTACGAAAATCTTTGTGCACTTCACAATTGTCCTCCACTGACAACAGTTACGAGTCACGTTGGTGAAGGTGTACTTGATATAAGCGCAGATAGAGTAAGGTAAGCGAATTCCAACCCATATCTACTTTCTGAAGAGTTTCAGACTGGGAGCCTCTTCTGGCTGCTCTGAAAATTAATCGGAACTTACGCTTTATTGCCATCAGGAGCTTCTATCAGCATTCGAATTTATCGGGTAAGTTTAGAACTGAATGCTTGGACATTTCCTCTCTATTTCCGTAACAGTTTTTCCAAATAATTAGACGTATTTCGTTTGCATCGCAACTTAAATTTAATACGGGAATTGTGCTTTTCCGTGAATACTTTATCTTTTCTGAAATGCTTTGAGATTGTTGAGCGGAACAGATATGAATATAACCATTTATGGACTATATCACGCGGTTTAAATAACAATGGAGTTTAAATAACAATGGAGCTCACACTTCACACATGTGGGCTAAAATGGAGAACAATATTGGCCACATGATCATAATTGATTAATACTCTATAAAACTCTGGACATTGTCTAGGAATTAGAAATTTTTGTTCGTGTATGATATTCGAAACTCTTCTGTACGTAATTTGTTTGTGTGAATTATTGCTGGGTTCCTGATAACATAGTTTCGAATTCACAACGACATATGTTTGTAGTTTTTTTGACGATTCACCAATTAGGCAATGATAATAGCAATCTTGTTGGACTTTTCTTCTTTTTCTCTACCACAGTGCCCAAGTTTTATACTTATATCAACTTTTCTTCTTATTCGTTGATTTGGATTTTGGCAGATCAAGTCGTTATACACATTTAAAAAATCTTTTAGTCATATTCATGACTAAATACATCAAGATTTGAGTATTGCAGGCTCTAAGTTAACACATAACAATTAAAACTACTTCATCCATAAATAATTAAACGAAGACATTTCTAATGCATTCATCGTGTTTAGATAATAATGATAGTAGGCTCTTGTGGCCTTGCACTGTTTGTCTCTACAGAAGTGTAACTTCTTTTTGAAAGCGTTCACCATTGGGGCTGATATTGCTTGACCGCGTAAGGAGTTCCAGAGGCTGAGGATCTAAATTCCTCACGAATTCAGTTAACCTACGGTTTTATCACTTTTTGGTCATGATCTTGCACAGGTACCCTAGAGGGAGGTAAAAGTTTAGAAAGGTCGGCCACCAAATATACGATATGCCAAAGTTAAGCAACCTCTTCCATCTTTATGATAATAAGAATAGATTTAAATGCTCCAACCTCTTGTCATAAGGAAGGTGTGAGGTACAAACCAACTTAGACTCTACCTTCTGAACACTTTCCAAGGTACGTGCCTCCTTCTTGAAGCATGAATTTACCGCTCGTATGCAGTATTCCAGATGAGACCTGATATATTTTGTGTGAAGTAATTTGAACAGAGACTCATCTAGTCGTTTGAAAGCCCTTCAAAGTGCTCATAGCAATCGAAAAGCCTTTAGCAGCGGCTGTATCACAATTTCAGTTGTTTTCAAGTTATGACTGATGACAATTCCTGAGTCCTTTTTTCCGTTAATATAGGGCTGTTCTGTTTCCCCCAGGAAGTACTCTGTGTAAGACCTCTTATCTAAGCACATTAATGCACTTTTCCTGGAATTAGTTTCCAGACTCTGGAGGTTCGGCCATTTAGTTAATCTATCTAGATCACTTTGCAAGACCGACCTATCATCGTTATTAATTACAGTTTTCTAGATCTTAGTGTCATCAACAAGTACCAGCGAGGATTATGTGAAAATTTCTCTGTACTTCACTTACGTATAATAGGAATAGCAAGGGGTCTAGTCAGTTCCCTGAGGTACTCCGCTCATTACTCTTTTCGACCCTGACAGTACATTTATAACCTTTACCTTCTTCCTTCTATCCAGTACGTAGGCACTAAACTACTCAAGTAGTTATTAGACTAGCCCAAGCCTTTTGGTTTACGGAGCAGACCTAAATGGGACACTTTATCGAATGCTTTATTAACATCGATGAAAGCAACGTCCAATAGTAGGTTTTCATCCCTGGCTTCGATCCAGTCTTCCCCTAGCTAGCAGTAAGTTTTTTTAGCAGTATCGTCGTGGTTGTACATCTAGCCTTATTCTCTTATGTCTTTAACAGAAATGAGGGTCATTTTGATGACTTAAATTTCAGTATCAGGAAAGCAAAAATTAAACGAACTAGGATGCCTTCATGCTTCTTGAAAATTGATTGTTATGATGAAAAATTGACAAGATACGCTTTTCACATTTAATATAACCATGTTTTCCTGCCACTCATGCTGTTATGCTGTAACATATTTCTTCAGGTATGCTTTAATAGTTATCACAGTATACTTATATTGTGTCCGCATGACAGTGGAAACAAAAAAGTAAAACTACCAGAGAAAGTGTCAGTCATAAAATAAAAGTGAGGTAATAAAATTTATACTATTAAGTTAGTAATGTGAAATAGTTTTGCATCGTCGTATAAACTGCTCAGAACGACTGATATTCAATCAGTGATGCTGGTGGCCGACAGTTGAATCTGCTGTACATGTTTCATCCGATGAAGAGGTTGGTAGATACAGGTTCATGCGTAACAACCAGTTCATCATCACAATCAGTCTAAAATTTCTCTCATTAAACAAACAACTAATTTGAAGAACGTTTTACTGTTTGTTTACAGGATTTCATCATGAGCTAACGTCGGTTAGAGAACCATTGGAAAACCAGTCGGGAGTACTGGACAGCTGTTTCGTTAGCCTAGTTTGGGACCCTTTAGTAGTATGCATCCACCACATGGGTTCGAACCCACGACCTTTTGGCTACCAGGCGAGCTTGTAGACCATTTACCAGCCACTGGGACCCGATCCAATGGTCAGCTCATGAATTATAACTTCTGCCAGTTCACGGCATAACGTGAGTGTTCCAGGCGGAATATAAGAATTGAAGCTTTAAGTTTTGTATTTTCACTGGTGATGGTTTGATATCAAGGGGTAGTGCTGATAGCCTTAGGTCAAACCTTATTTTTTATTCCGCGCTTACTATCCATAGGTAAATTAGGCCAGGATAGATTAGTAATTCTATGAAACAACTGATCATAATCTGAGTAATAAAAGTAACTAATTTTATTACAGTTTTTGCATACTTTAGTTCATCAGATCATGGTATATAGATGAATAGTAACGGAAATTATAAAGAATTGCAAACTGTGAGGATATTGACGAAAAATTAAAAAGCATATGTTATAAGATTACGTAAGTTATGGGAAAATTGTTAGTAAACAAACTGTGGAGGAATATAGTGAGTTTACCTCATATATTTATATTTCGATATGAAATACACTTCACGATGACGTAACTAAATAATAGTGACAAAAAATCAACAATTAAATCTCACCAGTGATGACATAAATAAGGTCAAAAGTCAAGGCATCAATTTAGACAAGAAGAGACTTATCATGGCTACATTTTAAATATATAATTCAGACGTTAACTGTTTTCCAGCGATAGTTACTGTTATCTTTACAAGATTTAAAGTTGCTTGTTGGTTCATTATCTTGAAGTAATTTTAGATATCTACCTGATGTCTTGTATTAATGAGATGACGTGTGATTGCACTGACTCAAAGTTGTACTCTGTACTGGTTCATTTCTTAAGAAATATAACGGTTGTATTATATAAATTTAGTATTGACAAGTTCATCTTTTATTAATCAATCTGTCAACTTTAAAGATATCAGGACAATATTTCTAAGACAACTGAATTGTTTTATGTAAAATAAAATATGCAAATTATAGTAAGACTATCTATCATCATCTCAAATTAGCAGACTTCTGTCGATGTGATAAGAGGTGATTGAGATGGTGAAGCGCGTTAATCTGGTTTACGATAGAAGCCACTTTCAACCACTTACCTCTATATTACTTGACGATAACTCCATCAGTTGAGCTTCGAGCAAATGTCAAATTACCAAAATATCACATAACGGATAATCAGTTTGAAAAAAAAACATTTTAAAAGTATTCAGGCTACCTCAATTTTATTAAATGTAAAAACTGAATAAAGTTATTTAGTGATTCAACGAAGAGACTCTTTTCAACTCTTTTGAATATATATATATATATATATATATATATATATAATTTTGATTGGTTGGAAGATTTCACCATGAGCTGACATCAGTTAGAGAACCATTGGAAAACCAGTAAGGAGTACTGAATAGCTGTTTCGTCCTAGTTTAGGACTCTTCAGCTACTTGAGAATACTATACCAGTACTTGAAAATATATGGTTTTTATTTAAGAAATTATATCCGGTGAGGGAATGGAATCATATGTGTGAATACATGAAATAATAATAATGGTGTGAAATGCAATTAAAATGTTTGTGATTGTAATCATAGTTAAATGTCAAGTGGCAAAACAATTAATTTTATATATATAATAATTCATAGTATGTATAGAATTTGGAAGAGGGGATTAGTAGACAAATATAATAAAAAAGGACTTTGCGTGATATTGTGTGAAATTTGATAACAGAATTTAACGTTGCGAAACAAAATTGATTTCGAATGACAAGTGGGACGAGTGAAATAATACCGGGGACAGTTCATAGTGAGAATAGTAATAGTAACGATTGACGTAATAAAGGGAGAGTATACAAACTGAATAGACAAAACGAAAAAATTAGTAGAACCATAATATGAATAGGGATTACCATACTTTAGCACAGTAGAGGGATTAAGACCATGAAAGTTGGAGGGGTTGAACGGACTTTTTCTGTACACAGAGATCTGGCTTCTCTGTTTCGATAGCCAAAGCTTCGGCAATACAGATGAGTCGGATAGGTGGTGATTTGGGCAAATTAATATTCGCCTTGTAGATGACTTTGAAGGCGGAGGGTATAGAGATAAGGACAGTTATTATCGACCCGATTTTCAGCGATCGCTCTTCTTATAGCTCCATTTCCACCTCGTTGTAACCATGCAAGGTAGTGTTCTTTTGCCTTCTTGTACAAAGCCTGATTCGAACGACCGATATACCTAGCTCCACACGAGCAGGTGAATTGTGGGAATTTTATCAGCTTCATAAAATGATGGCACTGTTTCGAAACATTCATGTCTGAATGCTGGTAGAATTCAATGATCAATATAAGGCTAACATGAACTTTCCAGGAGTTAGTTCCTAAGGATTTGGTCTGTCTCA